AATGCAAAACCACAGACAAATAGAAAAAATTAACTATGCTGATATAGAAGATGAAGAATACTATTCAGATGAAAATGAAGTTTATATTATTTACACTCCTCATTCTAAACCTTATAGTACTAATCGAAAAGTACAAAAAGAAGTCCAAAGAGAAAATCAAAAGAAATCAGAATCTTAAAAAGAAATTAGATTAAAAAACAGAACTGTATTTCTTGATGAACCTGAATTAGAAGACATAGTTAATGAACCAATTGAAGTTCTTAAACCTCCCAAAACTACTAGAAAAAAAAATCAAAAACTTCATTCCATAATTGACTAATTGGAACCTTATGATATCTCCAAAAACATCTTGAATAGACAAGCTCAAGCTACCTATGGACAATTATTGCAATATCCTAACCAATATAAAAACCTTGCCCAAATTATGAAAAGAGATAATGCACCTATTACTAAAGCAAACTATGTAGAATTAGGACCCAAATGAAAGACAGTAGCAATGAGATGCCATGTAAACATTAAAGGACATCTAGTAGTACCTATTCTTGATTCTGGTGCTGCTGTTAGCATAATTACAGCTAAATTAATGAAAAGACTTGGACTAAAAATCAACCAAAAATCAAAAACTATTGTTATTACAGCTAATGGAGCTAGAGAAAAAGCACTAGGTTCTATTACAGATGTAAAATCACTTTTCAAAACATTGCAATTCCTATTGATTTACAAGTAATTGAATCAAAAGATGAGACATTTTTGTTGGGAACTGACTGGTTCAACAAGTTTAGAGCAAACCTGGATTTTGATAATCATACTCTAAAAATTATATACCTAGGAAAAAAAGCCACTATCTATACAACTCATGTAAGCAGAGAGCCAGTACCTAAAGAATTTAAAGAATTTATTGATGAAGATGAATAGATTGATGAAATTGAACAAGATAATGAAATGGAAACTTATTATACTGAAAAAGGAGGACAAGAAGATGAAGATTTATTCTATAACCTCTGGACTGAAATCATTACTGAAAAGAACCTAGCAGCCTATATTGCGTTTACTGCTGAAGTTGAAGCTCAACCTTCTACTATGCAAGTCAACACTTCTCTTACCAACTCCGAGAAAAAGATAGCAGAGAAAATTCTTCTTAACAACTACTATATTTTTGCAGAAAACATATCTAAGGAAGGACAAACCTTAGAACTAGGTCAAACTAATAAAGTTTGTTATGAAATCTATACTCTGAATGCTTTTCTGATTAAACAAAGAGCCTATAGAGCTTCTCCAGATGATCAAGAATTTCTCAAAAAAAAAAATTGAAGAAATAGAAAAAAGAGAAATTATTAGAGAATCATGTAGTCCATGGTTCTCACCTGTAGTTATTGTGTCTAAGAAAAATGACAAAAAGAGACTCTGCATTGACTATTGCAAGCTAAATGCAGTT